ACTCTCACCACTTTGATTCAACATAGTTCTGGATATCCTACCATGGCAATCTGACAGCACAAAGTAATAACAGGCATCCACATTGGTAAGGAAGAATTTAAAGGGTCACTCTTTGCAGATCACATAATCTTGTACATCAAAAACCCTAAAGAACCTACCCCAAAACTACTAGAACTAATAACTGAATTCAGTAGAGTTGCAGGATACAAAATCAAGACACAGAAATCAGTTGCATTCCTATACACTAACGATGAACTAGCAGACAGAGAAATCAGAAAAACAATCCCATTCACTATGGCATCAAAAAGAATAAAATACCTAGCAATAAACCTAACCAGGGAAGTGAAAGACTTATACCCAGAAAACTATAAGACACTCATGAGAGAAATTAAAGAAGATACCAATAAATGAAAATACATCCCATGCTCATGGATAGGAAGAATTAATATTGTCAAAATGGCCATCCTGCCTAAAGCAATCTACAGATTCAATGCAATCCCTATCAATATACTGACAACATTCTTCAATGAACTAAAGCAAATTGTTCTAAAATTCATATGGAACCACAAAAGATCCCAAATAGCCAAAGCAATCATGAGAAGGAAGAATAAAGCTGATGGGATTATGCTCCCTGACTTCAAGCTCTATTACAAAGACACAGTAATCAAGACAATTTGGTACTGGCACAAGAACAGACTCATAGATCAATGGAACAGAATAGAGAGCCCAGATATAAACTCAAGCATTTATGGTCAATTAATACATGATAAAGGAGCCATAGACATACAATGGGGAAAAGACAGCCTCTTCAACAACTGGTGTTGGCAAAACTGGATAGGTACATGCAAGAGAATGAAACTGGATTATTGCCTAACTCTATACACATAAGTAAACTCGAAATGGATCAAAGAACTGAATTTAAGTCACGAAACCATAAAACTCTTAGAAGACAACATAGGCAAAAATCTCTTAAATATAAACATGAGTAGTTGTCCTGAACATATCTCCTCGGTCAAGAGAAACAAAAGCAAAAATGAACAAATGGGACTACATCAAGCTAAAAATTCTGTACAGCAAAGAACACCATCAAAGGTATCCTATAGACAGAATAAAAAGGTATCCTATAGTATGGGAGGATATATTTGTTAAAGACATAACTGACAAGCGGTTAATATCCAAAATATATAAAGAACTCACATGCCTCAACACCCAAAAAGCAAAATACCCCATTGAAAAATGAGTGGAGTATATGAACAGACAATTCTTCAAAGAAGAAATTCAGCTGGCCAACAGGCATATGAAAAGATACTCCACATAGGTAATTATCAGGGAAATGCTAATTAAAACTACAACAAGATATCACCTAACATAGTTAGGATAGCCCAAATCTCAAACACTAGGAACAACAAATGCTGGCAAGGATGCAGAGAAAGGGGAACCCTTCTACACTGTTGGTGAGAATGTAAACTAGTTTAATCATTGTGGAAAGCAATATGGAGGTTCCTCAAAAAACTAAAAATAGAAATAACATTTGATCCAAGATTTCCACTCTTAGGAATTTACCCAAAGAAAACAAGTTCTCAGATTCAAAAAGACATATGCACCCCTGTTTACTGCAGCACTATTTACAATTGCCAATATATGGAAACAACCTAAGTGCCCATCAGTAGATGAATGGATAAAGAAGAGGTGATACATATACACAATGGAATATACTATTCAGCCATAAGAAGAAAACAAATCCGACCATTTGCAGCAACATGGAAGGAGCTAGTGGGTATTATGCTCAGTGAAATAAGCAAGGCAGAGAAAGACAAGTACCAAATGATTTCCCTCATTTTTGGAATATAACAACGAAGCAAAACTGAAGGAACAAAACAGTAGCAGACTCACAGACTCCAGGAAGGGACTAGAGGTTACCAAAGGGGAGGGCTGGGGAAGGGTGGATGGGAAAGGAGGGATAAGGGGATTGAAGGGTATTATGATTAGTACACATGGTGTAGGGGGTGGGTCACAGGGAAGACAGTGTAGCACAGAGAAGTAGTGACTCTGTGGCATCTTACTACACTGATGGACAGTGATTTCATCAGGGTATGGGGGGGGACTTGATAATATGGGTGAATGTAGTAAGCACAGTGATGTTTTTTATGTGAAGACTTGATAACTGTTTATCAATGATACCTTAAAAAATTGTTTATAAAGATGTATTATAAATACATATGTACATGCTGGTGTAAGCACAGACATCCGTATCTCAGAAAGGAAAACTTGTCCAAACTATTCTACCTTATTTCATTCAATCACTCAACAAAAATATTTATTAAGCAGCTATTATATCCCACTAGGACTACTCAAAATCATTACTTTTTAAATATGATTTGCCAAAGAAAGGTAATTTCTGAACTTTTCTGATAATTTTTTATGTGGTGGAAGGTTTATCTTTTTTTTTTAATAGAAGAAAGAAGTTTTTCTTGATCAAATGGAAAGGTTTTTCTGCCATCAAAAATCATCCAAGAAAAGTATAATCTGCACTCATTGTATTGCATATTTCACAGCTAATTACTTTGATAGATATGTTTATTACACTGCAACTTTAAAATTTTGTGTCTGGGCATTTTAGAGTAACTTTAGGGCCAATTAAGTAACTGTACTTAATTTGAATAGACGTAATCTGACTTCTTCAAATAGGCCGCATTTCTTCGTAAGGGTCCCAGCACATGGGTGCAAATACAAGAAGTTGACATCTTACTTCAGAATGTCTCATGTTCTCAAGAAATGGAGCTTGTATACTGCCTTCCCTTATCATCATCCTTACTCATTCAGGGCTGCTACCAAGTTATGCGTCTTTTCCTCTAAATTAGGCCTATTCTATACTACTATTGCTGTTTGCTTCTCAAAATTCAATCAACTCTTGTCAGGCCATCTCTTTCTCATAATGAAAACTGTGTACCCCTAAGCCCGTTTCCTTGTTTGGGTATCTTGGAAAATTACTCAGTTCCATTTTTTTCAACTGAAGGAAGAGTTTAGTTCTCATTTAGTAACTATTAGGTACCTACTTATGTGCCAGGCACTGGGCTAGATCTCAGAAATGGCAGATAAGTATAAAATCCATGGCTAGAAATATTCCTTCATCAAGAAAAAAAAAAATCACTGATTTTAACTTTACATTAAATCTCATAAACAGTGCAATGAACCGGGGAAGCTCTTGAAAGTACCTAGAAATCCCACTTATAAGCATCCTTCCAAATACCCACTCTGCTCATTAAATTTGCTTTTCTTCAAGTATTAGTATTTAGGATAAATAAAAATAATGCCTTATTCAACATAATTATTTTTACACTTAGTTTCATCACTAGAATTGTCTTTATAATATTTTTCAGGGTGGCAGTATTTTTTCTAGAGTGTGAGTAAAATATATTCTTAGGCTATAATAAAAGCCAAACAATCATTTGCTAAATTGTTTCCCAGGGAAGATGGGTCCCGAATTCCCAACAACCTAGTCACAGATGAACATGTGAAGTAAAAAAACATCTGTAAATTGGTGATGACTTATATTTCAGTGGGCTTAAAAAATGGTGCCACTACTAAGGTAATACCAATAAATTACTAGTTCAAAATACAAAATTATTCTGACATTTGTGAAGCTGTGTACAAATCTTCAATCAGTCCAAGAAGGACTGAGTGTGGAAGATTCCGAAAAGAAGCAAAAGTTGGTTTGTGATATCTCTACTGTATTTACTTTTGACTAAGTCCAAGATACTGGTCCAGAAAAGATTCCCACAGACCAATTGTGATTCTTCTTATACATAAGTTGACAGGCTAAAAAAACCCCACAAAAGCTCACAAAACAAAACCTGGTTTACAGGCTTCTGCAAACATAGAGGAAATGGTAGAAAGAAGTGCAGCCATTTTATATTATGCCTAGGGTAAAATCCTTTCAATGTGTTTACTGATACTCTGCTGAAGCTTTTATTTCAGCTAAGTTGTTCTACCTTAAAGGACTCCCTTAGATCAACAATTAGGCACATATCTTTTAAAGCTGGCAGAGGGTAGATTAGAAACTTTGCTTAGAATGGTGCATCTTTATGCAATGACTCAGTGTAGCAGCTAACAATATATACTTCTTTCTCTCACAGAAGAACGATTAGGTCTTCTATCTAAGACTTTAAAAAGACACATAAAATTAGCATACAGCCTTCTGTCTTAAGATTGTACAAACGAAATTTTTATTGGAATACAAATATATATTTTAAGACTTTACTTTCCTTGCTTACATACATTGATGACTTATATATATCCATCGTTATAATAGTTCTTCAGCAGAATGATGTTACATGAAAGCTTAGTATAAACTATTAGAACAAAATAACTGCTTTATTCCTTAATTTGAAATCCATATGCATTCATTTTGCATCAAATGGTAAATCTGAAATATAAATTGTCTATTTTTTTCATTACAGATGTTTGAAAAAAATCATGAGTCAATTATTGGATCTAACAGAAACATTCAACATTTAAATTATATATCCTTTAATTAATGGTATCAATAACATTAATATTTTAATTATGAGGGAATGCTGTAATTTATAATAATTGATAAAACTAACAACAAAATGATAATTTTAAATTTACTCACAATAGACAGGAGGTAAGTTTTGAATTTTCATGCAATTGAAAGAGAAACAAGAAAATGGTACACTGCCACTATTTTTTTAGAAACTTTGTAAATAATAAACCTTTTCCCAAGTAAGATATTCCATGGACACAGAATAGTTGGTAATGGTTCAAGTGCCTTAGGCAACAGAGAAGTACTGTTTTGTGGTTGTTTTTTAAATCTCTCCTAGTATCCTAGTAACAGCAGTTCACCATGCACAAAGAAAAAGGTAACATAGTTTAAAATGAATATATAAGCAATAACTGTACAACCTCAACTAAAACTAAAGTTTACCATATTAATTCCATTCCTATGAGCCAGTATAGGTAACTTGGTTGATACTTACCAAATGTTATAGAAATGTCCAGGCTCTAAGCGACAAAAAGTAGACACATGGTGAGGTGCTGAAGACAGTTCTCTCTTGCCCTCAAAGTACTTTAAAAGGAACCTTTATCTTCCATTTAACAGAGGGTGCCTCCTATTACCAAAGCATTGCAGAGAAGAGTTTCCACAATCCCGTCCTGACTTTCTGTCCCTCTCTTTGAAGAGTAACACTTACCACCGGGAAATGGTAGCAGAAAATGATCACTTGAACAGTCAGTCACACAGGGCAGCTGTAAATTTCCACTCTCTTTGCTTGCTCTCAAATTCCAAGCCTTGCTTGTCTCTTAATCTGTCACAGGCAGTTCTGTTTCTGGCCAAACCAGCTTGCTTATGCGTTCTCCTCCCCCTCTCTAACGCACTCAGTTAGTTACATACCACAGTCACAGCTACCTCTTTTTCTTCCTCCCTCCCAATCAGGCAAGGGCCCAAGAATGTGTGTGTAAAGCAATCAAGCTAAGGCAAACTTAAATCTTGCCTTCCAATCTACCCAAGAAAAGGAGTCTAGGGATAAAATATTATCTCGTGTTTTTCCCCTTTAAGTCCTGTAAACTTGTTCGTGAATGGGGTTTTGTCAACAGATTAAACTGGCCTGTCCCTCTTGTTTAAAAATGTAAATAATATTTTCTAACAAAGGTCTGTTTATAATGATAACAGATTCATCTGCTAATGTTAGTTCCTCAGGGAAGATGCTATTCCTAATCATAAGAAGGAAGCACAGCAAGTAAATACTTAAATATTAATAATTTCATCTTGAGATTTAAAAAGCAAAAAAGACTTTATAATTTGAGTACTCCTCATTTAAAGTATAATTTTATAAAAATGTGGTGTATTTGAAAATATGGAGTACTTTGAAACTTAGAACCAACATTTGCAGTTATAAAAGGGAAAATTATAAAGAACATAGAAAAATATTGATACCAAAAATATTTAATAGAGCAGCTTACACCATTTATGTACAAACCAAATGTAATTATTTTTTTAGAACACTCTCACCCCCCATAAACATATATGCCTTATTGATCATCATACATAATACCTCTTCAATGAGAATTCAAAAGGTTAACTGCCATAAAACATTTTTTCATTATTATACATGTATAATTATAGAGTAAAATATCTTAAAATGATGGATATCTTTGCAAGGTTTGGGACTGAGGTAGTAGGTAGAAAGCTGAGTAGTGCGATTGATTGGTGACAGGCTTACATGGCTGTGCATAAAATTGAAACATTTCCAGAATTTCTTGCCTGGCTTTGGTACATCTGCATATCAACAGGTGTTCAGAGGTGGAGAGAAGTATGGCTTCAGTGTATTTGCATCTTTCCTCAAGGGTGGAGAAGTTCATCTCCATATCAATGGGTAATTACCTGGGCAACAGAGGGCTTATCTGTACCTGAGAGGTGAGGGGGAGGGCCGGTGTGGTGGCTGCTTGAGCAGAGAAGAAAGACAGCCTGGGACTGCAGTTTGTGAGCAATAAACGAGTTTTAAACTTTATTTCTCCCTTTGACTGATTTTGGTTTTTAGAGGCATTTTGCTCCGGGATTTCCTTTCCCCGGACTTACAGTGGCATTTGTAGGATTCTTTGGAATGAGGAGGCAATGTACTCAGCTTGGAATACATGCTGGCTCTTTCGGAATGCTAGTCATCAGATCCTGCCATGGAGTTTTCTGTTCCAGTTCCTCAGCCTCAAGACTTTTAGGTTCCCTGTCTCCTCCTAATATGTGTTTCCAACTAAAATTCTTCAGCTCTTCGAGATCTCCTGATTCCAAAGCTGACAAGTAGTTATTAGACCTATTATTATTTTTATCTTACTCTCTGCAGAACTAAGATATCTCTAAGAATATGAGCTTAAATAAAGGAAAAGGTAAATAACTATAGTTATTTATAATCCTTAAGAAAAATAAGAAAATAAAACTTGGCTCTATATTTTAGTGATACATATTTAATATATATTTCAAAATATACATGTATTTTTCAAATTTATATTTCTTAATCTGCCTCATTTACAGTAGACTTTTAAAATTTAAATATAAGGTGATTTGGTTCTTAACACCTAAGAAATAGGCATTGAAGAAGACTAGGTTCATCTGCTGATTGAATAATTAGTAGCCTTATAAAATTTAGAGTTTTATTTCTTATGTTAAAAGAAATGCTAAATGGAAGTTATCCCAAATCACTAAGGGGTATTAAGTACCTAGTATATTCCTGAGTCTCAGATTATACTCAAACAATTGAGGTATACTTGAAAGGAAAGGAGCGACACACAGCAGCAATTCACCGGGAGAATTCCACTTTATTAGGGAAAGGTGCTGGGTTATATAGGAAGGGGCATGGGGTGATTGAGGTGTCACTTCTACGGGGCTGGTGGCTGTTGGCTAGGTGCTGGGATTGGGAGGGGGG